CTTTGTTTAACTTTTAACGTTTTGTAATTTATTCACCGCTTCATTATATATATACTCGATTTTATTATTTTAGTTTACTTGATAATGACGTTCTGTAAACGTCGAAACGTCGTGTCATGCTTTATAATATTTTATCGCAGTTTTTCATTGTCAAACTTAGAATACGTCGTTAGTATGATATTTATTTCATCTCTGGGTTCAAATAGAGGGGAAAGATCTCACTTCAAACAAACTTTTGAATTTAGCGGGCCGCATAGTGAAATACGGCCCCCCGAATTGACCAATTGTAGCAAATGTATTAAATAAGAGATATGATAAGGTTATTTACAATACGAAATACAAAATATGCTTTAGAAATCGTGATTATAGAAATTATCTCATTTATTTTACACGCAAGTAATTGGTTTCTTGTCAGTTACTTTTTGATCTAACAAGAGAATAATTTGAATATATCAACAAAGTTGAAATGGTAAATTGGCCACCGTAACGATTACAAAAGCTGACGTTTCGAGCGTTAGCCCTTCGTCGGAGCGAATAGAGGAATTGTGGGTTGTCTGTGCTTTTAAAGGCAGAGAATGGAGCTACGTTATTGGTGGGAACATGGAAACGAGAAAAACACCAGACAATAATTTTTTTTTTACCTTTCAAGGTGTTTGATGATAATTGTGATCACTTCACTCCAGTTCTAAACAGGTTTAACCCCGTTAAAGCTCGCTATGTCAAGGTCCTTCCTCACCACAGCCCCTAAACCTGCTGTGACGCCTGAGGTAAGTTGGCTTTCACGACGCCTTTGTGATAGAGCCATACCCGGTTGAGTTATTATGGTAATCCCGAGATTTCGCTCGTTTTGTTCCTCTCTGCTCTATTGGTCAACTGAAAAGACTCTGGTCAACCTGACAACCAATCATAATTAGAACAAAAAACTGTTGTCGTTTCTTCACCAGCGTCTACACGCTCATAAGGAAAGTTCTTTGAAGGGTGTCTTTTACAATCACGCACACTTGCAAATTTCGTCTTTAACAACTTATAAAAAAGGGGGGTTCCCCAGTTTTTGGGAGATTTTCAATGAATTAGCATATGACCTGTCTAGCCCCGTTCACGTAATCCCATAGAAAACCACAATAGAGCAGACGTGTGTAGGCCGGGCCGGACGGGTTGTCGTGAGCTGTACGCCTTTGCTGATTTTTTTCAACTCTCTTTCCAAAACTGTGAATTCTAATGGGCCATTTACGAATCACTCTTGGACTCTTTTTCAAAGCGAGGCCTGTTGTTCAGCCATTCGTATGAAAATGAGTCTTATTTGCACATGAATGAGAACTTATATTCAAATGAAAGGATGAAAACCAAGACTCGCTTTGAAAATGAGGCCAAAGGTAATTCGGAATTGGACAACAGTGAACTTGAACTTACAAAAAGTCATTTCGATGCTCAATTGTAAAACTGGAGAGAACATTTGAAAGCCGTTTCATTTCTTATCAGCAAAAACAGTTCAAAGGATGATGTAAATCATTTATCTTCTCGTAATGAGTAACAAATTGTTCAACTTGAGCCATGAAACTGCGAGAACTGCCGACTTTTTTGGCGAGAAGAGACTGACATAAACATAGGTAACCTCAGAACAAGAACAGAATGTCACAAACAACATTTTCTATCAATAATCATTTATTTCGGCACCTAGCTTCTTCTACCCTCTCTAGGACTAGTATGAATTCTTTGAAGAAAAAATCTTAGTAAGAGCGTCCACCTTACTCTGTATGAAAATGTATAATGCTCCTTAGATGTTTGGTTTTAAACATGCAGACGGCAAAGCTGAATTATGTTTGTCTAAGTTACCAGGTGCAAATATTTATAATATATATAAAATATATATTATAAATGAATATATATAATCACACTTAAATGAATGAATATGTATAATCACACTTAGCTAGTGTGATTATATATATTCATTCAAGATGAATGAGCTGCTCAAACTCAGATTCTATTACGTCATCAGTCTGAGTCACTACGGAGTCACATGAGATGCGCATGCGTGCTGCCGATCAGTGCTTGTATGCTTGCTGATCAGGAAACGTGGAAGGTAATAGTGGCTTGGATTTTCCTTGCATATCAGGCGTTTTGTGTGACTCCTTCGTTCCTGACTGATGACTCATAGAATTACAATCAAACTTCAACTTACAGGTAAGTCTCGTTTAATTTTATAATTATTGTGCATAGGGAAATAATCAGTCTGGCCGGTTATTAGAATAAGAATATGAACCACGAAGAAAAAAAAAATGTCCGTTAAAGAAGCTACTTTAATACAAAGACTTTTTTAGGGGTAGTCACGAGAATACGTCCATCGGGTGTTGCTGCTATTCCTCGAGGGCTTTGGATATGAGTGATACTTTTGCCTGTGAAGCGACCGTCTAAGGAAAACTGCTGAACTCGATTATTGATCGTATCGCATACAAGAAGATTATTGGAGCTGTCTATAAGCAAAGCATACGGCTTGTTTAATTGTCCATCTTGATTCCCTTTTTTGCCAAACTTGTGTAGGAAGGTTCCTGTCTGATGGAAAATCTTAATACAATGGTTGTCAGTGTCCCAGACGAAAAACATCTTTTGGCAAGAAACGCAGCTCATCGGGCGGTTTAGTTTTTCTGGGCCGCTATTTCCAAAGATGGAAATAGTCTCCCACTCATGTGACATCACCTGTATCCTGTTAGCGCCAAATTCGGTTAGAACAATGCGGCTCTCCTCATCCAAGAAAACGTCCCACGGGGCAGAAAACTCTCCTTTTCCTACACCAAATTTTCCAAAAGCTTTCACTATAGTTCCTGTCTGGATATTAACCTGCTGCATTCTGCAGTTAGCTGTATCTGCAATCAGTATCTCGTCATCACTGAAAGATGTCACACCGATTGGGCCGTTGAATATCACCGCATTGTTTCCTTTACTTCCAAGTTTTCTCAGGCATTTACCTTCTTTGTCAAATATGTAAACACAGTCTTTATCAAAGTCAGTGACGACAATCTTCCGTGTCGTGTTGACCGCGATTCCCCACAGAATTCCGATCCGGTCTCCTTCTAATAACTTCAGATCCAATTCGCTGCCCACAGTAAGTTCACGCTCTTTCACCTCAACAGTGAAAGGACAGTTAGCAAGTGTATCTCCATTAATCTTTGCCTCAATGTTGTACGAGCCAGGAATTTGGGGTATAAAGCTCACTTCCAATGTACCGTTTTTTGTCTCGCAGACAGTGATTTGTATGACATCTCTAGTTGGTTCTATCGTGACTTCAGTTTTCTGCTTAAGATCAAGCTGGTAACTTATTTCTCCATCAGGTGTTTTGGGGAACAAAATGAACTTTGCTTCTACACCAGCCTGTAGAGTTTGATTGAGTTCCTCTAGAGTGGACTGACTTGCGTCTGCCATGTCTTTGGTGGCGATGTCGCCCAGATTAAAGTTCACAACAGGAGTAGGGTAAAACTTGATGAACGAGGTCTGATGGTGTTGTGCAGCTTGGATTCCTCGAAGTTCTTCGAATCTCTGTTTCAAATTTTGTTTGTTTTGCATGATATCCCAGCTAGAGCTTTTCTGGACCATGTTTTCTGCGAATTCGGCGACTTTGATGTTTTGTTTCGTTAGAGA